AATCATACAAATTCAATAAGATGTGTAAAAATTCACACTCAAATAATCACATAAAATTAATTAGACTCTCATACTTATTTTATATTATGATTAAATTCATCAATTGATTTTATTAATTTAAAATCACCGACTAATAAAACTTAGAAAAAATTTTAACAATCAGTAGTTGTGTTCTTTATCTTTTGTTCCTAAGAAACCTTTTTCCCTCAACTATTAATTAATTATTTTCTTTTTGTTGTAGAAAAAATCGAAAACATAAGGAAATTTGAGTGCAATATCTTGAAATTTTGTTTTGTTTGTTTTTGTTTAGGGACGGCAAGCTGCTGTTGCCTATGTAAACATTAGATGTTACTATCTATTTTGGAGTTACATTGGGTCTCACATAAGGTTATGCGCTTGACATGGGTGTTGCACTACGTATTTCATTTTCCTTTCTTATTATGAAAAAATATTCTTGGGAAAATCTTTCTCCAATGCCATTCACTCCAATACTATTAGTTTGCTTGCTACACGAAATTATGAATGGGTTTCCTTTTTGTTAAAAAGAAAAGCATAGATGGATTTTATTAATAAAAATAAAAGGGTATAATTATTATCTCATGTATGATACTCTATTAGAAGCAAGGCATTCGATGAAACGCAAGTTTAACTAACAGTTCAAATGCTAATTTCTTTTTCCTTTTTCTCAGGGCATTTGGTGTGGGATGCTGTGCACTATTTGCAATGATTTGCAAAACCAACTGGAACAAAGTGGTGATTTGTTTTTTAAAAGAAAGAATCATTTTCTGGTTGAGCTCTAACATAACAAAAAGAATTGCAGGTTTCGATTGCAAGGAGAGGATAAAGAAATGGGGAGCAAACATTGACTCCCAAGAAAACAATGTGGAAAAATAATGCAGAAAACATGATGTTAGAAAAGAATAAATGATCAAGTGAAGTTTTGGCCCATTGAGTGATGAGGAATTAGTTGAAGTTCATTTTAACGTATGATGAGTTACCTATGATTGGAGAAAAATATGCACGATGACAATTACATCCATCATTTCTCTCTAAGAATATTCAAGTCAACAGAAACAATATCTATTACCTACATTTTTTTCTTCTGAGAAAGATATATTTCATAATAGTATTAGATTAAAGGATTTGAAAGATTTTAAATGAATAATCATTAACTATGTTGTATGTATCCTCCATTCAACGAAATTGGCGCATGCTTTCTCTTGTTTAAAAAATTGGATTTGAATCTCTTATAGTTTATTTATTTTATACTTATATGTTATAATTAACACAAGTAACATGCATATATATAATTATATATATTGTGAAAAACTTTTGAGAATATAAGCAGCAACAGTCGCAATACCAATGATCTCTCTTTGGACTAACTTCCGTACGGTGGAATTTGGTCTCTTTATGGAGGCTATTTGCATCGTGACATGTACTTGCATAGCATCCCACAGTACAGTTGTCCTAGTTACCATTTGGAGGAAGGGTCCACAACTGGATTTTAGGGCAGTTTATTTACTTTAATATAAAAATAAAAAATTTTATGGCTACTGATATCTTTAAATTGAAATATATATTTTTATAATTAATTTAATTTCATTATTATAATATTTAATATTATCTAATCTTATCGTTACAATTATTTTCAATTTCATTTTCCATCCAAATTTACTCTTAATTGTTAAAGTTCTGGTTATTAGCAACAAACTTCCTCTCCGTCCTTTATGGGTGATAAAAAAGAGCCGCTACTCTCCCCAACCAACAAGACCAGATACAGTCACACCCAAAGCAGCTTACACCTTCTCCTCCTCCTCCTCCTCCTCCTCCTCCTCCACCACCTTCACCGCCTTCTCCGAAGACATTCCTCTGATCACAGGCATCCGTCACTTTTCCAGAAAATGCTTTGCCGAAACCAATAAACTATGGTACCTAGCTAGCCCTGCCATTTTCACCTCCATCTACAACTACTTCCTTGGTGCCATCACTCAAGTCTTCGCCGGCCACGTTGGCACTCTTGACCTCGCTGGCGTTTCCATTGAAAACTCCGTCATCACCGGCTTCTCCTTAAGTGTCAGGGTATACGTACCATATACTGACATCCATAACAAAAATCCCATATTTATTTGTATGGCCTTTCTTGCTTGGTTTCTGGTTACAGATATGTGCGGCTAAGGAATCATTCGGACAATCTGACATATGGAGGAAATTGGTCACTGCAACTCCCTTAAAAAATGGTGATCTTCCTGTGGAAAATTTGCAACAACTGCATCCCGGCACGCAATGAACTGCTGAAACGTAACATTTAACATTTCAGGCCTTTGTCCCTTATGCCAACAAGAAGCTGAAACCTTGGAACACCTTTTTATTCACTGTTCTTTGGGAAGAGCAGTCTGGTTTGTGTCGGAACTGACCCTAAGGATGGACTGCTTCAGGCATGATAATCTCATTGGTTGGATTAAAAAGTAGCTAAAAATTAAGGACATTCACTCAGATGAAGCATGTGGTTTTTACAGCCAAGTTGTGAGCATTCTTTGGTCCATCTGGATCCACAGAAATGAATGTATCTTCAAGAAAGTAACTCCTAATTCAATGAGGGTCCTTCAAGAACTTGGGAAACATTCAAGGATGATGACTCTAATAATAGGCAAACAAATATTCCCAGGAGTCCTACTATCTCCAAAGATAACGGTCCATATACTAGAAACACTAGCACCTGGTGTTTGTATCTAGGCATGCATAAAGATCCCAATAACAATTGGTACGGATCTAGTGCAATGTTGAAAGACTCAAATGGACTAACTTTTGTATTTTGCAGGAGCCTTGAACCTACTTCAAGTACCATGCAAAGGTTCTCCTCATGAGACAGACCGTTGGCAGAGCGAAAGAATTTAAGGCAAGAAACATTTGGTACAGGGAGGACAAAAACAAAAGGAAGAACACCTAGGACGCACAAAGGCACATTGGAGCATAGTTCCAGCTCTTGATGACATCCACAAAATGAAGGCCAATGGTTTATAACTCATGTTTACCACGGAATGGCATCCTTTAGCAAGAGAGGTGAACGAATTAAAAGGGAAGACATCTTCAGTTTGTCTTCATCCTCAGTCTCTGACTAATGAACTATGTTGCTAAACTTCTTTTCTTGTCTCTTTACCAAAAAAAGCAAAAAAAAAACCAACAACAACAAAAGTGGATGATATTACTTTAACACAATAAGCTTGGCATGGGAAGCGCGCTTGAAACCTAATGCGGTCAAGCGTTTGGAGCAGGGCAGATTGACAAGCTGGGAGTTTACATGCAAAGATCATGGATCATTCTCAACTGCATTAATCCTTCTCTTTTTATACATATTCGCGGAACAAATTTTGATGCTGATAGGCCAAACCGAGGAAATATCAACGCAGCTGGAGCTTTTGCAATGCGGATGATACCAGAGTTATTCGCTCATACCATGAATTTCCCAATGGCCAAGTTTTTGCAGTCGCAGAGCAAGATCATGGCCAATGATTTATATTTACCTTCGTGAGCATTAATTCTCATGTCAATGAGTCAATTATGGCCACCGGTTAATGAAACCTTTTGTCTATCACAATTTTATGTAATTTCTAATCTAAGTTCCTACTTGATCAGAAGCAAGCAAAATCAGTTTCAATATTCCAACTACGTACATTATCTTTTAATCGTTTATTTCTGCCTTTCTTCTAACAAAGTTACAAAAATTTGCAGCTGTAGCATTCTTGGATGGGCGACCATGGTAGCTTTTAGTGATGAACGTGGCCGTGAGTTACGTCAACAGCTCCTAATGAAACTAGCCAGAACAAAAACCATTAGAAACATTTCGGATTTAATGCCTTTCTTGTTTTATAGTGTGAGAATGTCAAATGAATTGGGGGCTGGACATCCCACAAAAGCAAAACTTGCATTGGTAGTGGCCATTGTTACCTCGGTTTATGATCAGTACATCTTGCATTTAACATTTCACCAACAAATTTTAGTAGCCATTGTGACGGAATACTCTCAAATTTCTACTCCGAACAATAATAGAACAGTGAACGGTGATGTACGGTCATTTCACCATCAAATTAAAAACCCATTGAGATGAGATTCTCTCACTCTCTATCTCCTAAAGTTCATGAATCATGATGGTGAAGAGGAAGTACCGGCGGCATCCCCTCCCCTTTCTACCCAATACACACAAAAAAAAAATATGGATTACTATGCTAAAACTAGAAATAAAATTATTAACAAGTAATATAACCAACATCAAATTTCTCTGGCTCAATACGTAAAGACAAGGCCCATCCATTTTGGGCCTATCAGAAATAAGAAAACATAGGAAAGACCACATGAGATCATAACTAACCAATTATCATAGAACAAATACTCGGTAACAAGTCAATTAATCTATTATTCACCCAAAAAAAAAAAGCCAATTAGTCTATTGATCTTTCAAAACAAACGTCATGCAAGCCTAGTAAAAGCGTTACATGCATCTTTAATGCAAAGTGCTGTAAGGGGCAGGGCAGCCTAAGTTCCTTTAAAATTGGCCATTGCCTCATGTTAGGGTTAAACCTGAATCAGGTAAATCCCCAGTCACTTTTGTGACAAAGAAAGCTTATCTGCGATATGCAGAACAGGGCACAACTATTCTCCCCCCCCCCCCCCCCCAAAAAAAAAAAAAGGTTTAATCACCACCAAATCCCAAAGTGACGCTCTCTACACCAAGCGAGAAATTATCCTAATGCCTTAATGCTTTTACCATATACTGAAGGACAGCAATGTTGCTAAAAAATAAAGTGAATTCAATAAAAAAAAATCATTTCAAAAGAATTTTAATCTACCAAGCTTACATGCTTAAAATACCAACTACATAGTCGCCAAACAATTGCCCTCTTGAGATCATCCCTTACTAGATCCATTACAGATTGTCTATTCTTCAACTTTCACATCTCTGATAATCTCTTTACCATAACATCTTGAATCCACAAAGCACGTCAAATGTGCATTAGCACAAGAGATAACATACCATTCTCAGATAGTAATCCACTAATGAGTAATGACAATAAAGTAGGGCGCAAACCTTTACTCCAACTGGACATATGAATCTGATACTAATTAAATTTAATGACAGATGACTAAAGAGGCGACTTCATTTTGATCCATAACAGTAACTCGTAAGATTGGGTTTTGCAAGGAAAAATGGCTCAAGAGAACGCATCTTTTATCTCATCATTCTCCAACACAGAAGAAAGCCATGACCAGCCCCACATAAGATTCATTAAATTTTCATAGACCAAACAAATACCAATGTTAAAAAATTAGACAAAATTCAGGATATTAATATAAAATCTCATTTCAAAAATAACTCCAAACAACGGAAAGATAATAATATAGCAGAAATGTCTTTCAGATCCAAAAGAAACAAAAACACTAACCTAGGCGGTGAGCACAACAGCACCACCGGCCTCCTTAATTTTCTTCTCAGCAGTCTTCGAAACCAACTTAGCCTTAACCACGATCGGTTGATTCTCGGGCAACACACCCTTCCCCAGGACCTTAAAATACCCGAACTGCGTCACGTCGATCATCGGAGCGGCATCCTTGTTGGCCTTTGCCTTCACGTCTTGGGGGACGAGAGACCAAAGCTTGTCGATGTTGACGATGGGGCTGTAGAACTTGTTGCGGAGCTTGTGGAAGTACCTCATTCCGACTTTTCCAAAGTACCCAGGGTGGTACTTGTCGAAGAGGATCCTGTGGTGGTGCATGCCTCCGGCGTTTCCGCGACCTCCCGGGTGCTTGCGATGCTTGCCGATGCGGCCGTGACCAGCGCTCACGTGGCCGCGTTTCTTGCGGTTCTTCTTGAAGCGGGTTGTCATTTCTGATTGTTGCGGAGCTGGGGGAGGGGCTAAGGGCGGCTGACAGACGAAGAAAATGAGAATAGGGTTTGTGGGGATTTTATTTTGGGGGAGGAAAATAGTGGGGTCTGGGAAAGTTTTCGTTTCCAGGTTTGCCCTCTAGGGTTTTGCAGTTTTACGAATGTGGTGCGCATAAAGAGGAGGGTTCGACTTCGACAGCTCTTCTGGCTTTGTGCTTTTGGGTTAATGGGAGGACTGATGGGCTTCAAGGAGGTAGACTGGATTGGGCCTTAGGATTGTGAGATTGATCAGAGTTGTTGAGGATCAGTCACACAGATAAGGGGCTTTTATTATTATTATTATTATTATTATTGAAAAAAAATTCTAATTCACGTTAAGATAAATATTTATATTAAAAAACCTTATGCATTTTAATAAGAGGTGTAAACGAATTGAATATGAATAAAATTTATTATATTTATGATCTATTCATTTAATTAACAAATTTTGACATATTATTTATGATCATTGATTAAATTTAATAAATGAATAAAAATTAAACTTATTTAATTTGAATATTATTTTTGGTACACTTTTCGTTTAATAAATGAATAAAATAGGAATAATGTTGTTATGTTTATAATTTATTAGTTTAATTAACGAACTCCAATATATTATTTTGTGATCATATGCAAAATTTAATAAACAAATAAAAATTAAACATACTTACAAACTTTTAGTGCTTCTGTACCTTATATTTAATCATAAATCAAACATCAATCGTTCAGCCAATACTCCCATCCAAAAGTAAAGTTAACCATTGTGAAAACATTGAAGTGGCTAACATGCGTTTTAATCCGAGGTTAATTCCAATTCAAATAGTGGGAATGGAAATTGAGTCTTCTTTTGCATTGGTTAGCATGAGGCAAGAGTGACTCCTCTCTATATTGGTGCATTACTCTTATCTTATTCATCATCAGAACATCTTGGCATCATCTATACTGATGCTACCTCCAACAAACACATTTTTCAGTGTGCTAGATTTTATTTTCCCCCAAATATCAGATCAACATCCTTCTCTTGAATTAGATCTTCAACTCATATAAATTGTTTTCCATGACAACACAACATGCAATGTTGCTTGTTTAGCATTGAATTCTCTTCTCATGAAAAATATCAAGCCCAGGAACAAAATATCTCACCAGAGAGATCACAAGGGCTTTAAAAACAAAATGCAGTAAATGACGTTGTATTGAAAATAATTAATTCTCCGCATAATACAATCTATTTGCATTAGGGTTTTCGTTCCTCTAGGAGGTTTGTAGTCTGCCATTGCCTGGACTGAGAAAACCTCCGCTCGCAGACTACAAGCAAAGGGGTAAGAAGGTTTGTTACTTATTTACTCACAGACAACTGTCACGCCAATCCTCGGTGCATGTTCGTGGGGTAAACCATGTCTCTTCATGTTTTCGTAGTAAGCAATTAATGTTCAAACAAACAACCATACCCAATATCCTCAAATATGCTTGTAAATCATGAAGGAACAAATATCTTTGATTCATACAGACATCATTAACAAGAAACAATAAATAATTAAATGAACATATCATGGTCCAACAATCACAATTATGGAGAGCCTGTTCCGTATGATTCATTTTTGTAGAAAAATGGCAGCTCCCACCAACCCAAACCATAAAGTCAAAGCTACCCAAAACGCTCGATTCTTCTCCAGTCCAACAGGAGGTCGCCACATCAGAAAATCACCCAGAAAGCCTCTGGAGGAGGGAAGCTGATTGGTTGTCGACCCGCTTCTCTTCCGATCCTTGAACATATCACTCCATGTTGATGCATAGCTGGAAATTTTGAAATAATGCATGTTCTAGTCAAAATTTTGTCCAAATTAGCTCCAGCTTACTACCCACCGAAGTTGAAAATGGTGAACAAATATATGCAAATATTCAGAGATGGAAAATAATACTTGATTAGGCAAAAGCTGAAACTAGAACCAAGCTGGCATAAGATGTGGACACCACAAGGTGATCAAGAAGGGCTTATTCAGACATACAATCCAAATAAGAAGTAAGCTGGTCATAAGGCATGGGAAGAGCTTACTAAGAAAGTACTAATGACTTTTTAGAACTCTCTAAGAACCCGTAGCAGTCCACAAAATCATAAAATGGTTAAGAACATTCTTGCTTCCAACTTTCGTTATGTTCATGAAGCATGTAAACTATGAAGTATGGACATGGACACCATAAGTCGTGGCAAGAATCAACTACGCAAATTTCCAGACAGGAAGCTAAAAGGTACAAGATCTGGCAGCGAATAACATGAGTTTGACTTTGTATGAGAGACGATCTTTGAGGAGTGAAAGAGGGATAACATGTAGTATTTAGTATTTGGAAGAGCTGGTTGAGGCAGGAAGTAAAAAAAATAACTCCGTCTCAATTAAAAGAAAGGCTTTAAGAGATCAAAGTTAGAATACTAAAGATCAAATCACAACACCTGCAGTCCCTTTCTCTATCCTAAAAGCCTCGTTTGTACCCACAAAAAAAAATTTAGAACGCTAGAGTTGACTAGAATCCACATAATATTCTCATAATTCACGGTATCAGATGCCATTGCCCGCTAGACAGATGAGACTGGGTGTGGAATAAAAGAATATGTGCAGTTGCTAAGTCGTTAAAACAACAGAGTAACAGGCTCAGTTTAGATGCAAAAAGAGAACAACTGACAAGGACTGTTGGTCAATCAACGTAAAAGTAAGTGTCGATAATGTCTATTGCTGCGTTATTTTATGCCATATCCTTCCTTACAAAAGGCCAAAGCAAATATACCTGTCGTAACTAGAACCAATCAGCGGCATAGTAACCATCTCTTCCTCGGATATCTTGAGTTTAGGCGCTTGCAAGATGTAGCGGAGCTCAGCAGCTTGCCGTCGAATACTCACACTAGGATGCTTCTTCTCTAATTGTTGGTACAGAGCAATGCAGTCCGCATGGCGGTTATTCGCCTCATAAGCCAAAGCCAGCCATATTTGAATCTGAAATCCGCCAATAAAAAGAAAAAAAAAAACCCTCATTAGTCTTTGCCACCTTTGCCAAACATTGATTTAGATACAGAGCCTTGAAAATTCCTCGAAACAAGCGACCTTATCTTATAGGGAATCAACCAACCTCACCGCCAAATAATGTTGGCCTAGGAACGATCGTCAGAGCACCTTCAAGAAACTCAATGGCGCGTCGATACATGCCTTTTCCATAAGCCTTTTGGCCCAATTCGAACATCAATTGTGCCGTTGCTCTCCTCTCTGCCTGCTCCTTAGCCACCTGTTCTCCCATACAAAATTAAATAGAATTTCTTAGAAGGAAAACGAGGTTGAAGATTAGTTTATTTGCGCAGTAAGAACAGAAGAGAACGAAGGCAAAACCTTTTCGAGCTCTATTCGCACTCCCATCCTCTTTTCCTCTTCGGTTTCTTCATTACCTTCTACTTCACTTTCCTCTGCTTCCGCTTTACTCAGCAACTCCTCCGCTTTCTTCTCCAACTCCCTCATCTCCTCAACTTCCTTAACTCTCTTCCTCATTTCCTTCTCCCAATCGTACTCATCCTCTTCCTCCTCCAATCCGTTGCCGTTCCCGTACCCTTCGTCGTCGCTCGATCCCGCGTCGAAATCAACCGCCTTTACTTTCGAATTCGCTTTGCCACGAGCCACCGCTCGGTAAGGCCTATTCTCCCCGTCCGAGAACTCGAGTTGGCTCCTGTTGGAAAAAGAAGCGTGGAAGAAATGAGGGTCGCTCTTAGGTAAGTTCAAAACGACGTCGATGGCCAAGGGACGGGATTTTCGGTCCATTGTAACGGTCCTCGCAGACGTCACGTCTAGTAACAATGCTAAATTTCCAAAAACCACAGCCATGGCTGTCATCCCAGAGAAAGAGAGAGAGAAAAAGAGAAGGAAGGAAAGAGTGAGATTTGAAGTTTCGAGTTCACAAACCGCCGTGAGGATATTTTGAAGGCTGTTTACTAAATGACAAAATTATCCTTTATTTGGCGTTGAAAATGTCAGATACTTGAAGATAATTCGTGCAATCTACAAGGGCGATACCGTCAAGATGAATGTTAACGTGGCGCTATATTGATGAGTGTCGTGTGTGGAGACTGTTGCAGCCTACAATTTGTCTCACGGAAGCGGAAATGCTTGGTCGGTTCAAACAAGTAATCGTAATAATTGAACACTCCACGCAACGCCGTCGTTTTGTTTGGACGGATCTCACGGTGTGGAATTCAACGCAAGAAACCATCAGCTTCGCAGAAAATGTTCAAAACAAAACAAGAAAAAACTCTCTTCCAACGCCCCCGCATCCCACGTGCATTCACGCGCAGGGATTTGTGTCAATTCCCGGTGCGTTTTTAAGGACTAAATCGATGGCCCTTCTCTTCAGCACATGGGCCAGAAGCTAAAGATTTTGAACTTTTAGCTTTATCCCCAAACAATTCCCTCCATTAGTCCGTCCAATGGCTCTTCCGCTTTGCTGCAGCGCAAAGTTACGGCCTCGCTTTTGTTCTTCTTCTCATTACGAACAACAGTTTCGTTACATTAACCGCCGGAATCTCCGATTTTCCAGGAGCAGTGAAGTCTCGATTTCTTCCAAGAGGATAAGCCATCGCTTAGCTCCTTTAAAATCGTCTTCGATCAACGGTTTCTCGGTACAGAAGAATCTAGAACATTTTGAGGAAGGGAATAGCGTAGAGAATGTCCAATTGCTTGAGAGAATCCGGAAATGGGTTGATTTTCTTCGAACGGTGTTACCCGGAGGGAGTTGGTGGAGCTTCTCCGATGACGTGGAGCTTAAATTGATGGCGAAACCGGTGACTATTTGGCGGGCGCTTAGTCGAATGTGGCAGTTGATTGCTAAAGATCGTTTGGTTATTTTGGCTGCTTTCTCCTCCCTGTTTGTGGCTGCTGTAAGTCCTTTTTTCACTCCAGTTCTGTTTCTTGCTTTGTATAGTTGGATAATTTCTGCTAATTTCTCAGTTCCTAAGTTGTTTGATGAAATTAATGAATTATTATGGACCCTTTCATTAACTGTGGTTGCTGGGAAACTTTTTGTCTATTGTTTTGTAATCATATTAACTGACTGGTGAATGTATTGGCTCAGCTGTCGGAGATATCTATACCACATTACTTGACAGCATCAATATTTTCGGCACAGAGTCGTGAAATAGCAGTGTTCCACCAGAATGTACGGCTTCTGATTATGATATGCGTTACCGCAGGAATATGCAGGTCAAAATCTAGTATGGTCAAATCTCACTTGCAACTCCAAGCATGGCATTCACATCTTCTTGCATTCGTTACTAAAATAAATCTGAAATCATATTTCTTTTGGACCCTTAACTGTCTTTGGTAGCAGGAGAGAAAGAGGAAGGAAGGAAAGACAACAAAAGGAAAAACTACTTTTTTTTCCCTGACTTTTCCTTATAGGAAAGGAAAATGAATGGATTTATATCCTTCCCTTCTCTCCCAAACCAATTATTTCAAACATAAATGAAAAATACTCATTCAATTTAAATTAATAATTTTATTTATAATTTTACCTTAAGAAAGTATTTGGTATAAGGTGATATGTTAAAAACTATGATAATCTATACTCAGTAATTATATCATCTTATTTGGTAACAATTTAAAAATCTTATATGACAGTAATCTTAAATCACTAGGGTGATAAGATCATTGTTTTGAGAGATGACCTGATTCTTAAATTAAAGAAGGTGAAAGTTTTATCATTATAGGAAAATAATTTTTTATGTTATTTTCTGACTAATTTAACTTTTAAAAAATATAATTAACATTACCCTAAGCTAGCTTTTGATATTATTTTTCAAGATCTTTGCAATGATCTAATTACCGTAATAATAAGATCATCAAGGTGATTTGATTACCAATGATCTTAATTATCATATTTGATACAATATTATAAATCATTACTTCATTAGTGCTTTTAAATTACTGTGTTTGATATTATATGAAAAATAAATTATATAATATAAACTATCTGAAATAACCTTGTAAAAAAAGTGAAATATTTAATATTTATTGAATCAATAGTTTATAAAATAGTTTAAAAAAATTATAAAGTATAAATTAATTTTGATAAAAATTATTAAATAAATTCATTATCTTTTTTCTTGTCAATATAAATTTATAACATAAAGCATTTTTAAAATAAGTGATTAAAAAATTGGGTTTTTAAAATTTTTAGTAGCCAACTTTTTTGGTAATAAGAACTATATTTTTTATGAGGATAAATTAGTTAGAAAATAATATTAAAAATTATTTTCTTATGATGATAAAATTTTTCCATCAAGTTAGGAATCAAATCACTTCCCAAGGTCATTTTATCACCCAAATAATTTAAGATTGTTATTATTTAAGATTTTTAAATTGTTATCAAATAATATAATATAATTATTAAGTGCAAATTATCATAGTTTTTAAACAGATCACCTCATATCAAACACTTTAAAATGCTGATCATTGAAAATTAAAAAAAATAATTTTTTTTAATCACTTATTTTTAAAAAGTTTTATGATATAATTTTATATTTATTAAAAAATAATGAATTTATTTAAATTTATTTTTATCAAAATTGATTTATACTTTATACTTATAATTTTCTATATAGTAATATTTAACTATTTTTTAAATTATTGATTCAATGAATATTAAATATATATTTTTTCAAGATTATTTTGAATATTTTATATTACATGATTTATTTTTTCATATAATACCAAATAAAGTGATTTAAAACCACTAATAATTTATAATATTATATAGAACATAATAATTTAAGATCATTAATAATAAAAAATTTTAATAATCTTACTGCTATAATAATTGAATTACCATAATAATATTGAAAATAACACCAAATGCTACTTAACTTCTTTCTTTCCCACAATTTCCATCCTTTATACCAAAATACAACTAAAGAAAAGGTAACTTTACTTCCACTAGTTTTTTTCTCTTTCCTTACCTTTTTTTTATTCCCTTCATTTTCTTCCAAACATAGTGTTAATGAATTGTTCCATATCCTTAAAATGATTCATCATTGCGTATGACCAAATCAATGTGGCAGCCTGTGGTTTATCTCGCTAAAACGATGGAAAAATGCAATAAATCGAGCATTTGCATGCTGCTTTCAGGAGCATGGAACTTAGTATTTTAGTGGGAGTTGAGCCTTTTTGAAGGAAAGGGTGCAGCTGCTATCTGCTGATGCTTTACTCTATTCTTGAATTTCAGTGGTCTGCGAGGATGCTGCTTTGGCATTGCAAATATGATCCTTGTGAGTTTTCTCATCATGATTTTACAATTTTATATCCTATGCCTTGTCTGATTTTAACTTTGGGGTTTTTTTAATGAGTTTGGAGGAAACATTACTCAAATTTTCTTTTCCATTTTTGAGTGTGAATTTAACGATGATGGCAAAAATAATAAAAAAAACCTTAAATTTTATAATTTTATTGAGATAAGTCTTATATTTTTATTACATTTAAATAAGGCTTTAATCTTTAATTTACACTCAAGTAAGTCTTTAATTTTTAATTTGTATTTAAATAAATTTTAAAATTTTAAAATTGTATTTAAAAAAGACCTTAATATAAATATTTTTATATTTAAAATAAAAATTTATTTGGATAAAAATCAAAATATAAGAATTTATTTACATACAACAAAACTATAAAAATTTATTTTAAAAAAGTGAAATAGTTCATAGACTTTTTTGATATTTTAGCCAACGATTATCATAAAATTGTCTTCTCAATGGAGCATTACTTTAGGACCAACTTTAATATTTGCAGGTTAAGCGAATGAGGGAAACACTGTATTCTGCTCTTCTTCTTCAGGTTCGGAATATATAAAACCTGAACTTCCTAAGATTTTTTCTACATATTAGGCATGCAGGTTATATTTCTTTAGTTTCTCTGTTGTATAAGGTAACTTATTTTTGCATCACATTTTTCTGCAGGACATATCCTTTTTTGATGGTGAAACTGTTGGTGATTTGACGAGTAGGCTTGGTTCAGATTGTCAACAAGTGTCGCGTGTGATTGCGAGCGATCTTAATCTGATTATGCGAAATGTTCTTCAGGTTTCTAACTGATCAAATAATTAAACCATTTGAGTTTGCTTTAGTTGTGGGAATCTGATTGGCATGTCATTCATCTTTTAGGGGACAGGGGCCTTGATCTACTTGGTAATTTTGTCTTGGCCACTTGGGTTATGTACATTGGTGATATGCTCTATTCTAGCAGCAGCTATGCTGGTCTATGGCCTGTAAGATTTTTTAAGTTGCCTCATTTTTTTCCTTCCTCTAAATTGAGGTAGTTTACTTAAAAGATATCCATAAAAGTTAAGTGTGATTAAATATACAATTTTAAATGGATGCATCTCAGGGCAAGAAAAGTTAATGGCTGGAAAGAGGATCTGCCGGAGGATATTAACCTTTTAATACTGCAATTTTCATTTAATAGGTTTTAGATAGTTGGAGGATCATCAGATTAACAAAAAAAATGGGTCAGGAATTTTAGAAAAAATTATGCTTTCTGTCAAACTGAGGATTTCGACTTGTACTTACTAAGATAACAAGGATTCAATGACACATACAGTTTCCTTATTCTTAATTTTCAAAGTATATTGATGGATGGACTATTCTCTAAGTGTAATTATTCTTTGAGGAAAGTGTAGGTACCAGAAAAAGGCAGCTAAACTAATCCAAGAATTCACTGCTTCTGCCAATGAGGTAGTTATTACAAACTTTAACTCTAGATTGTATTCCGTATTCTTTTTCATCGCTTACAGTAGGATGAAAGGTTTCTCACTATTTATTTCATAGGTGGCTCAAGAGACATTTTCTTTAATGAGAACTGTTCGTGTTTATGGAACAGAGAAGCAGGAGCTGAAAAGGTAATCTATGCTACTAGGATCTTTCTTCCTAATGTCTTTTG